TGTAATCCCAAGTTTTGACTGCGGCTGCAGCCGCGTTGAGCTTTCGCGCACACAGAACACACACAACGTCTCCTTCACATGTCTCTCCCGCACCTCCGGTTAGCACGGTTGGCTACGCACGGTGCAAAAGAAGTTCAACCTACACAACCATAATAAAAACGTGTTATTTTACACAATTCGTGGCTTTCTGGGGCAACGGAACTTCATCCGACATTGATTCAGCCCAAGCAAAACCTGGACTGGCCTCTACGTTTGTAGCGCTCGTTTACTCAGGGAAGCCTCACTGAGTCTCAAGACTCTTTCGGGAATCGGGGGGTCAATGTTTCTGCTGCGTGTAATCCCAATTGAATTAGTTTGCAGCTGATTGTTCAGCACTGGGATGTTTGACCAATACCACAGTTACATTGCAAGTATTTATTTATTTGTAGCTACGAGAGAAAACAGGAAAACACGGAGGAAAACACGAAAACAGGAATACATGGAGGAAACTCATGCAGAGCAGAGAGAGAAACTCCACACGGAGAGGTGCCCAAGTCCATAATTAAACGCAGGCCCTCCTTGCTCTGTGGCGAAAGTGCCACCCCTGCATCTGACCAGTCGTCTTAACAATTAACATGTTTGGTTTTCTCTGTTAATACTGCCCTTGGTTCTTAAGGAGGAAACCCATACAGCTACTTTGTTACTTTGTATGGAGTACGAATGTGAAACAAACAAACCACGCAGATTTTAAACCTACTTACTCTACTGCCTCGTCCAGGCACCCTGTTGGCTTGCACGTGGGCTCCATCTCTCTGTGATACACCAACTCTGACAAATCTCTTTCCACAGTGTGGGACTGCATGTATGCAGTACCTCCAAAGGGTAGCGAGCATGTTGAACGAGAGACGAAGATTCATGTTCGTGTCTTTGAAATCACGCAGAAGTGAAGTGGCCACTTGGAGGCAGCAAAATCAAAGCTCTGCGCTTTGCTGAGCAGCAGTGGCTCTGGCTTCTAAGTGCAGGAAGGAAACGAGTCATGAGTAATTCATTACATTCTGCGCATGTGAGTTTTAACTTCTGGTGAAGAGATGTGTCTGTTCATCATCATCCATGATGCTCCACGGTGGCCAGATGTTAACGACCTCGCCGGGTATACGGGAGGTCGTGGGTGCGATCGCGACGCTGACGCCTGTATATTTGGAGTTTGCGGTGTTTCTCTCCGGGTCCTCCGGTTTTTCCCTCCACATAGGACAAACGTGCATTTAGAGTGATACATTTCCACAGGATAAGCCACTTCGTTGAGCTATCGTTTGCGGCAAGGTCGCTTCTGATAAAGAGCTGTCCAGTATAGCTCAGTGGGCCTTACCTGGTCAAATAAAAAAAACATTGTTTAGTTTTTGTTGTTGTTATTGTCTATCGATTGCTGGATGCAGCTCCCCCGCCCCCTTCACCTTCCCCCTAAGCTGCCTGCACGCTTCACCATCCCCGAGTTGTAATTCTACGACTGCCATCTGCACATGAACCGATTTCTTTGATCCATTTCCTCGGCGGACGTCCTCTCGGATGCGCTCCATTCCTCGGTGCCCATTGCCCGTTACGTTCCTCGAAGTTGCAGACGTTCGGACAAAGTCACGTGCATTCGGGTCGTCTGCGTAAAGAAAGAAAACACACATCTGAGTCAACTTCCTCCTGATTTTCTGTGAACGGTTTCGTATTGAAAACCAGGAGGGCTGTACTGCGTTCTGTTTCATCCCTGGCATGGCTGATAATTTACGGCTGAAAGTTTGTGGAATGAAGTTACGGAACAATTCCTCACTCCCCTGCTTTGGTAAACGACGGTCCAAGCACGTACGACGATCGCGTCATTTTATTGAGATGGTCCCCCCCCCCCAGCCCCGTTATGGCTTGATTCCCCACGTCCCCTCCTGAAAAATAACAATAACTCGGGAATTGTGTGGCGAACCACGCCGGTTTGCTTGACAATAAGCAGCGTTGACATGACGAACCCAGCGGTCTCACGCACAGCTGGCGAACTCTATCTCCTTGCGTGTGCGGTGATAGCCAGAGGCCGGCACGGGAACTGGGCGACATTGAGTGGGTTCCGGCGTTTATAATGATCTCTAATAGCCAGCTACACGATCCGCACGGTTTTCCAGGCACTGCTGCGTCACGTCTCAAGCCGTGGCCAGAAACAGTCACCTTCAAGCGCGGTGCATGGACGCATAGAGACAAAGGTCCCCCGTATAAAATGAACAGACTCCTTGGGGCAAGTGCCCTTAACGAGCACCTATGAAGGCACGACACAAGGGGGTGGTTGGCCAACGCCACGCCGAGTCGATTTTGCCTCCAAAGATTCAAAACTCGTTTCTTTAGAACTCATTTTTGTGTTGAATTTGTTGTCCTTCCCACAAGTTAGCACAATTGGCTACGTACGGTGCAAAATAAGTTCCACATTCATCCGTACGAAGTACTAATTTGAGGCTGAGTCGACCTAAGGGAGGCTCAGATAATCGTCACTGGTGTTGGCCGTGAGCCGGAATGGAACTTGGGTCGCCGGGGGTTCGTAGCGCGAGGCGCTAACCGCTGCACCACCGCTCCCACGCACGTACACTGGCTCAAGCCACACGCGCACCCCTTCCCCTCTTAACCCCTCCAAGGAACACCCCCGACCCCCCCCCCCCCCCCCCCCATGGGAAAGTAATGAATGTGCTTCCTCCACGCAGCATCTTTAGCTCGGGGCCCACTCCATTCATTCATCTCTCGCTCTCTACACACATGGGGCATTAACTCAAGTCCCAACTCAAAATAGCAGCCTGCGTGGGCTCACACAAATTATTCCCACTGTCTGTCCCAGGTATGAGGTGATGGGTTTCTTTTTTTTTCTTCACAGTCTGTTTATGTGAAACATTTTAGATAAAAAAATTTTGAGAGATTTGTGTGCATTTTTTTGGGTGACTTTTCACGTAAGTTGCAACGGCGTTGGTTGTAGCCACAGTATACAGACACGCTTCAGTGACCCGCAGCGACCAGCGCAGTGAAGTATGGTCAAAATAAGCCTCATGACCTCGACAGGCCTGGGGAGGGTCTCATCTAGCAGTGGATTGACGATTGTGCTGTGTATGCTTGTCCATTGGTTTTTAGTAAACACCTTGACTGCCCCTCAAACACATATTAATACTCTTCCTACTTAACGCTACATTACGATTGTGGGTGTACAATGAAGAGCTTACATTTTGCATTGTGCCGCACAATTTATCTCTCAAGTGCCATACACTCTGCAAAGTCACTAAACAATGCGCAGCGCAACACCGATGTAAATTTTTATCCAGAATAACCCACTACGTGCGTACCTACTGTATCGATTACATATTGCTTAAGCCAGGCGTAATCAACCGACGGTAATCACAAGACCGAATTGTAGACCAATTTGTGCTTTCACCGCGAATCATTTGAGCCACACCTGGTGCAGAGAATGTGAGAAACTCGTGTTGAAGCGCCCCAGACTTGGTTTGTAGTTCAGCGTCGGCCCCGAGGGGCAAGAACTCCGCAGGCCGGAGCCGTCTCGGGTAAAGCCAGGACACGCGGTCCACCCAATTGCCGAACTCTCGCTGTAAAATGCTGCCCTGCGCCTGCGATCCAAACATTGTGATCGCTATTGCAGCCTGCAAGGTGTTTCTGATGTTTTATTGCCAACATACGAGAGGGCATAAACTCTGTCCACTGGGGTCCTTTAGTCTTCCCAGCAACATTTTCAGAAGTCTAAGGCGCTGGACTTTAAAGAAAAGCAGATGCAATGATTTGGTCTAACCGCGTACATTTTGGTTTCCTGAGCATTTTATTGATTTGGAAAACATCCAAGTCATTCTCAATGTAATTATTTACTGATGTTATTTTTTTTAGATGTTTTATAAACTATCATGTTACTCTCGTACTATTTGACGTTCGTTCTTGGAAGATTGATTGTATCTGCGAGCAGATGGGACACTGATTGCTTCAAGGATTAAGGCATTCTGGAAACCACAGAAGGCAATATTGAAAACATTTGGTAACAAAAAAAATATTCACTTACCCCTGCATTTAATATTTTTGTCGAGGTAAAATTAACCCTTGTACATCAAATAAGGAATGCCATTTATCACCCATGTCCTTTACTAAAAGCAAGACACAAATCTCACGTAAAATAACTTACATCAGAACTTGACTATCACCGGAGTCATCTTAGAGCGGTGGTTCTTAATCTTTACTGCAGCCTTGCAACCGCTATGGTTCTTGATCGTAGACAAATTTTGACCTTAAACTTTCGTGACTGCAGAAATTCATATTCTATGTTTTCTTTCGGTAAAGTCAGGTAGATAGAAGAAAAAATTACAATACAATAATAAAAATAAAAAGTGAATAAAAAATAATACAAATATCACGACGTTTCGATCGCAACACAAGCAATCGTTATTTTGTATATCTACGTGACTTTACCGAAAGAACCATAGACTAATCGTAAACAAATTATGTTAATAAATACATTTGGGGTTTTATGAAACAACGCAGTAGTCCTTATGTGCCCTTGCTTAATTTTAGTTTTCAATGATTTACCTTCTAAAAAATCTGGCCATGTCTCGTAGCCCCAGAAGGCATCTTGCTCTCCCAGGGGGTGCTTGCACCCCAGGTTAAGAACCACTGGCTTAGAGCAATGATCTCATCTCTTTTTGAAAAAGTAACACGCTGAACAACCTTAAAAGACATATGTGGTATTACTTCACTCGGGGGTGGACCGGCGGCACAGTGGTTTGCGCAAGAATCTGCCGACCTGATGTTGATTGCCGGGCAATTGCTAACATCAGTGGTGAGTGATGTCTAAACCAGTCCTGTGCCCCCAACCTTCACCCACATACACCGACTGGTGTGGTGGTGAAGTATGGTCAAACGACTGCCACGACTGAAAAGCCAGGGAACGCCTTCATCCAGCAGTGGATTGATAAAGACCTCTAAATACAATAATTTCACAATGACAAACTTTATATATTATATATTTTTATTTCTTTACATATTTTTTATTTTGCATTTCGTCAAAAATGTTACATTTTAACTTGTTAATTGTCACTACATTAGAGCAAAGGTTGTTTTAAAAAGTAAAAAAAAATAAGTTAAAAGCAGGCAACGTGCTTCTGGAACTGGCTGGCTTCAATAGTCAACACTTTAATCACGAGATTTCGAAATTGCTAAATTCTCAAAGAAGGAGTCGAGGTTTACTTAGATGAACATGCATCGCAAGATGAGGACACCCATCAGGTGCAGCAGAAGGGCTGAAGTCCCCAGCAGTCAACCTTTCTGTTCTTGTTCCTTGATACACAGTTCCCGAGCCCAGGCCAGATGTCTCACTTGTCGGTACCACCTGTCAGTTTATTTGACCAATAACAGTGAATTATGTGAAATGAGTGAGTTATCAAATAATTCACTCGTATTAGTCATGTAAATCAATCGGTACTGCTTACGTTTTTAGGCGGTATCAATTTCTGCTCCGGCCCATGGGCTAACAGTACATGCTGAACTTGCAATAAGTGCAAGGCTCACATTGTTTATTTTGTACAAACATGTGCACTTCAGTTTGCTTTCATCCAGAGAAATCCACGTGTTTAAAATTAAGAAGGACCTTTGGAATATGCTTGAAAACGTTCATGCGTTAATATAATGTAACCCCAAACCACAAATTTAAATAAACAAAAATTTAAAATGTATTAAAGCTTCCACGTCGTGGGATTAATAATGCAATCAGTATTTTTTTGTTTGTTTTCATTTAATTTTGCAGTCCCACAATGCCAATGTAAGTGCTCGCAATTACAGGAACGTGAAAGCATTGCACTGCTCTTAACACAGTAAAAAACAGATCCACGCACAGACCAGTCGTGATGTCCATGAGGTTGACACGCAAGTGTGGCAGATAACCTCACGTTAAGGCTGGACATGTAAACACAGTAGCTGCTAAAATAGCATGGAAAGTGTGCGTGAAGCTTACAAACAAGCAACGAATATTCATCTATAAATTACAATGTGTGCATCGTTAGTAATGTCAGATCTATAATACGTATCTTTACTTCGTGTCAGACTTCAACATTATGTTTTAGTAATGTACATACAGTATATACCTTTATTTTTAAATATTTTTTTCATGAACGTAAATGCTTCAATTTTTTTCTTTAACATGTTATTCGCCTGAAGTGTTTAAAAGTTTTGCTCTTTGTCGAGGTAAAGGGCAAATGGAAGACTGCTTAAAAGTCCTTGGGCCGGATCATCATGGCCGTCTCTCTCAGGGAGTAGTTGACCCCTCTCCAATAATGCCACTTGACCCCGTTGATGCGACCTCTGTACTGGCCACCACCGTAGTAGGCTCCGTTGAGGTTGGAGGGGCCGCAAGCATCAAACCACCAACCTGGAACGAGAACACACAACACGCGTCAGCCGGCTGGCTGGACCGAATTACCGACCGGGATTATCCATTCGCGTCAGGCGCAACGTGTTGCCGAGTGCGGGCTCCTTGTTCGACGATTAGCGGGAAAGGGAAATTTTGCACCGATACGTGACGGACAGACTGGTAAAGATTCTAGATTTGAAGCTTTCGTGACTGCAAGGATTCATACTCTTAGGTTTTTTCGATAAAGTCACGTCGGTAAAAAATAAAATTAAAAGTTAATAAAAGTAATAATGGAAATAAAATAAAATAATAAATCACGACGTTTCGGAAGCAACACAAGTCTCCGTCATCAGGTGGGACCGTCACAGCTAAAATTACTGCATCAAGTGAGGAAAATTCCAAAAGACCAGCCCTTAAATACAAGTTAACGGTCCCACCTGATGACGGAGACAGAGACTTGTGTTGCCTCCGAAACGTCGTGATTTATTATTTTATTTTATTTCCATTATTACTTTTATTAACTTTGAATTTTATTTCTTACCTACGTGACTATACCGAAAAAACCTAAGAGTATAGACTACTAAAGCTCTGCTAAGTTTAACAAATGTGGTTACTTTTTCACCCATTATCCACTTCAGCTTTTTTTTTTACTTTCCACTTGCTCTGTTTTTGATTCGCCTTTTTACTTTTCTAGTCCTGTATAATTCCACAGGTACATTTAAAATTAATAAGTGGGAAATTCAAAGCGACATCAGTAGTAGTAAATCTGCAGTTATTATCTATTAATAGTTACATAGCACACATAGTAGAAACATTAACAACAAACCATAATAGCGTTAGGCATATATTGACATTTTCTATCAAATATTTTGTGGAAAGCACCTCAGCTACACATAAATTGGGCATCAGCGTTCTATTGGATGACGTGGCTTCATGACTTGTACTTCCACTTCCTGTTCAGAAGAGTCCAGGGTTGGAACAAGACTCAGCAGGACCCTGTTTGGCCAGAAAACGATGAGCCCTAGAAGGGGCAAAGCTGGTTCTGAGTTTGCATATTTAAGCAAATGCTGCTGACGGACAAAGATAGAGAAGGTCAAGAGGTCCATAAACTTAAACGTATTTTATATATTGACGTGGAGATTTACAACTTAATGTGATCAAATGTATTCTTTGTTTGGTAGGGCTTGATGAAGACGCCTTCCCAGTACTCACCCTGCGGTACTAATTGTGGTGTCCATCAGATGGTGTTCATTTTACTGACCCCTGGAGGGACTACACCCTGACTTGGACTTCAACTGAGACATTCGCAAGTGTTGTCCTCTACCAATTGTGCTACAAGAATCGCTGCGATCTACAGCCCTTTGTCAACACACTGCTTGGTGAAGACCCCCTCAATGCAGAGTTTGACCAAGCGTGACCGCTAAGGGATGCGGGATGGTGCAGTTAGGGATATTTGCTTCACCCATCACTCGCCCACCGATGTTACCAGGGCCAGGAATCAAACGCGGGATGCTGGGTGCATAGCACAGTGCGATAATTACTGCATCGCCGCTCCTGAGCTACACGTTGGTCGTAAATAAGTTGTAAATCAACAAATGTTGTGGTAGAGTGACGATGCAGTGGTTGGCCTACTGGACGATGAACCTGGTGACCTGAGTTGTGTTCCTTGGTGGTTTCCCATCTCACCATTCCACACCAATCAGCACTTTGAAGTATGGGGTCAAACAACCCCCCATGCCCAATACCGCTTGGGGAGGCCGTCATCCGAAGGTGCACTGACAATGGCTGACGACGACAATTACAACACTCCTTATTTTTCGAGGAGTGTCTCATCGAGTCTAAATACCGCGATTAGCGTGGTTGGCTACGTACGGTGGGAAAGAAGTTCAACATACACGCACACACACGCGATCCGAGCGGCCCCGGACCCGCTGCTGTGTTCTTTTTAAAGAGGCTCTTGCGCTCACCTCCACTGCTCATCTGGGAGCACTTGCAAGCGCAGGCGTCGTTGTCCGCGTCTCTGGTGCTGAACTCGGGGTTGCTCATGCCCAGGCTGCTGAATTTGCCGGCCGTGCCCGAGTAGCCTCTCGCGTGCAGCCTGGCGGAGCGGAGGCACGCGTCGAATACGTCACACCAAGGGTACACGTGCAGCCCTCTTTGTCAATCCACTGCTGGATGAGCGAGCGAGAGAGAGAGAGAGCCTCCCCAGTAACGGTGGGACACGTTGGGCCAACGTGACCACTGGGGCCCCCATGCCGTGCGAGTCGTAGATGTTACTCGGTCACACTGAACAACGATTGGTACAGGTCGGCTGAGGGGCCATACATTCAGTAGGTACGCATGGAGGGGGGGGTCTACTGACAATGTACGTACGCATAGGTAACGGGGGGGGGGTGAAGCCTCGATAATAATGCAGCCATCTGGGACTATCTGTTTGCTTAAACACGTTAATATTATTAATCATTGATCGATTAGATATTGGCCGTTCTATAGGATTCGGGGGCGGGGGGTAAAGCGTGCGTACGTACGCAGGTGGGGGGGGGGTGTAAGACGTACGCGTGCGTACAGGTTTTTGCGTATGTACTAAATGGATGGCCCCTAAGACGAGGGGCATTGATATTGTCAGAATAAGTACTGTAAAAATGATGTTTTTTGGAGCACTGCCCTCTGCTGCCCACAACTTAGCACGACAAAATATAACTGCCTGACTCAAGTACCGTGGTCACCCACGCAAGCATTATCCAAGCTCAAACCTGCTTAGCTTCCAAGCTCTCACGAAATCAGGCAACTCTTATACATTCATTGATGGCTTACAGCTTTTGCATTTTTGTAACGGTAATATCGAAATGTATTACTTTAGTGATCGCATCATTCTGTTAATATAAGTTAATTCTTTTGGTGCATGATGGTAATTCATGAACAGGTTTTGCTGTACGCAAAACTGATTTGAGTAAGCACAGACCCCTTAGACACTTCTCACATGTGTATCATTTTTTTACAAAGATAATAGAGAACCACGTACATTGCTCAATTGGAAATGTCAACTACTCATTGCTTACGAATTGCTCAATTTGAATATACATAGCAAGCATTGGCCCCTGGAAAAGAGTCGTGAGACTCAGCGAGGTTTTCCTGAGTAAGCAATCATAAGAATACATATTATTAATAAATAAAAATAAATCAAATGGTCGATTTAGTACATAACCAACTATGACAGCAAACTGGTTTTATAATCGTTATTTTTTTACCATTGAACACGCATACTGTACCATCAAGTTCTAGAAAAGACAATCCATAACCTACACTATCATGCACTGCTTTTATGGACCAGGCAACGGCATTTGATTCAGTGGAAGCTAATGCAGTCGTCCAAGCTCCACATGGAGCAACACCTTATAAAAAAAAAACATAACCATTCATGAAACATGAAGTAATAAAATGTAAGTTAAAAGAGGAGTCAAACCATTATATATTATCTCACCAAGGCTATTCACAGCAGCACTAGCAGTTATATTCCGAAAATCTCACCCAGTCAAGAGCGATGAGCCACATGCAATTATTGATAACGTAACAAAAAAGGCTACAAAGAGTGAAGAGGTTCAAAACGAAAATTTCATCAAAAGAAAAAAGACAACTGGAAAATGGATCAGTGCATGTATAATACCAAGGGGAATCATTGCAGATGGACAAGGATCTAAGTTATGAAATAAAGATGTGAGCTACGTCAGTATGAACTCTTTTGGAAAATGGAAATAGGAATGAAAAACAGCGTACCAGTGCACATAACGAATAACGCTTTCCATCAGTGCGTATTATGTGCCATAACATACGGATTGCAAACCTGGAATGTGAACATGAATTATTATATACACAGTGTGTGTGAATGTATTCTATAAAAAAAAAATGAGAATTCACATGGTCACGTTTCGGATGCCCGTGCCAGGTCTTTGAAGTGAATTGTGTGAGACGCTATCGATTCAGTGACAACTTAACAACATATTCAGAATCTGTATTTACACAGGAGGAGGAGGAATCCGATGAGCTATGAAGTTCTTTGCCACATACGTCCAGCATGGGCGAGTTAGCAAGTTACAACGGCGAACATTACACAAATGGTATTCAAATAAACAATAAAACGAATACTTATTGTTCACTCGGGAATTTTAATGATACAGAAAATGGGTCAAGTGCATCGAACAAAATGCAAACTTTAATTGCAGCAGAGCTACTACATCTCAGCGATGCGAATGGTGAAATGTGTGTTGGCAAATTCGCCTTTGTTTTGTAACAACAAAGGCCCATGGACAGTGAGTTGTATGAATGAGATCATACAACTCGCTGTCCATTTTAATTATTCAACTTGTTCACGTTTTAGTTGGCGGCATTTTGTTAAAAGATCAAAAAATATGCGACGGCTGTAATAGGTGTTTTAAATTACAAATTTACCTCGTTATGCCTATAGTTATGATTTTCATTACATCCATGAATCTCAATGTCATTATATGTTAGGCTGACGGACATGTCATTTTATTTTACACATTTTGTTTGCATGTGTAGTGAGTCATTTCAGAGACACTATTTAGGAGGCAACAACGTTTATTCTACAATTACGTAACACCGTTACCCACGGGACTAAATACACCTATCTCTCACTCTTGTTGCACACGGGACCACGATACACCTATTCCTCTCGTATGCGGGATAACTATAATCGGGTCAGAGCAGCCAGCGTGCTGTCTGACCCACGATGTCGGAGACGTAGACGTAGCACTTGGGTTCCACTTCACCTGCAGACAGCCCCGATATACGATCGGAGCTTCCCTTTTATCCTTCTCGGCGTGGCCTGGCTCCACCCTTGGCCGTGCCTACCTCTGGAATATTCGCGACGGTTCCAGGCGACACCGCACCTGTTCCCTCTCTGGCACCGCCCTGAAGCACGCCCCCTTCGGGAGCCCTCCAGACGTTTCCCAGCTACTCTCCCCGTGTCCCCTCGTTCACCCTTGGCCCACTTTGCTCACCCCGGCCCATCACGTGCCCCACTTGCCCCCCCTACCGCCAGCCGCCCCAACCACACTCCACCAGTGACCGACTCTGTGGCGATTCCTTGCGGCGCTGGCGGAGGCTGTTATCCCCTACTGCAGGGGTCCCCAACCCCCGGGCCGCGGACCGGTACCGGTCCGTGGTCTGTTAGGAACCGGGCCGCACAGCAGCAGGAGGTGAGAGCGGTGAGTCCGCGCGTGGCCCGCCCCCATGATTGTATTATTCACCACTTCCGTCCGCGCCTCTTTCCGCACTGCGCACTTGTCTCAGTCACAGTTTTGGTAAGCCCCCAACAAGCTGCTAACCCCTAGTAGCCACAATGAGTAAAAAACAAACGTCGCTGGAGAACTTCTTTGAAAAGAGGGAAAGACCCAATGATGACCCCCCCCCCCCCCCCCCGGTCCGTGAAAAAATTGTCTTCCACGAAACCGGTCCCTGGTGGCAATAAGATTGTGGACCGCTGCCCAACTGTGTCGGTTGGACTCATCTGGCTTCCTCCTGCGAGCACCCAGTACCATGGCCCGCGTGGCCCACGGAGTGGTCCTGCACGGTGTGTTCGCCTCTGCGCCCGTTTCTGCGGCGCCGCAGTGATCCATTTAACATCACTACACATGTAATAGTGTGCGTATCTGCTGGTTACATCTGAATATGATTTAAACACTTGCTCCGTCATAATATAATCCTCATGTAAGTTTCATTCACACTATAATTTTTTTCCCAAAGAAGTTTTGGCTATACATGCACGAACACCCATGAACAAACACGCATGCACATATTAGCATACTTCCACTTAATCAAATCCTGAATCATAGATGAGCCCTTGTGGAAATACAGAAAATATGAGCTTTTTGTTGTTGTTGGAATTACACTCCAGGCATGATATTTAACATTCATGCGTTATGGTGCTAGATAACCAGATGGGACAACGTTTTAACCCTTTACATGTTAACAACTGCGTTTTGCTATTACTTTGTGTAACCGAGTTAGATTAACGAATAATGTTTCTTGCAGAATTTAAGAAGTATCCTGTAAAATTGAGGCTGTATTGAAAAGCAAGAGAAAAGCCTGCCAAAAACAAGACCCAGTTCATGTCATGCCAAGACTAAGGCTATAGAACCTCACATATAAGGAAAAGAGATGGTAACAAATAGCTTCCAGACCCCAAAACGAGTGTATCTGTCAATGCAAGCTCATCTTCCCAGTCGACACACATATTTTATTAAAATCAACCTCAGCCAGGCCCTCCTAAAAGGAGACCAGAGACAATGCAGATGATTTTTCGGGTAAATACATTTACTGATATTTATGTTTGCGTAATATACGTCCCTCTGTTAATCCACTGCTTGATGAGGGCCTCTCCTCACCGTGTGGACCGTGGGGGTTATTTGACCATACTTCACCGCATGGCTCACAGGGTTATACCTAATACATGAAACTGAAATAAATTAACTGAAACCACGCTGATCACTGCAGATTTGGTGAAGGTGGGGAGGATTTTTGTGGGAACAGAATCCAATGCAATAGATGTTGCTGCACTGCTCTCTACTGCCCACAGCATAGCCCTTCGACGCACGGCAGCCGGCTATCCAAGCACGATCCAGGCTCAGACCCGCTTAGCTTCCAATATCTGACAAAAATTGGGTGCATTTCAAGTGATCCGGTCAAAGGCATTATTATTGAATTGGTCCTGAAGCTTCTTGACCAATCTTCACCTGGCTGGTCAATGCAGGATTTGTGAAGAGAAGGTTGGGTCCCAGGACCAGCACGTGCATCACTTGCCACTGGTGTTAACTGTGGTTGGGAATCAAACTCGGGTCGCGAGGTTCATTTGCGCAGTATGCTAACCACAACGCCACTGTTTCACTCCTTCCATCTAAACATGTACCGTCTTAGACTTGCCAAGTCCCCATGTGTGCAGTATGCATGGGACCACGATTAGAAAATGACTTATGATTGGTTTGCTGTGACGTAACATGTATTATGCAATTATTTTAAATGGAGTGCTCTACAATAATTTTAAAGGGACAGGCGGTGAGAAAATATGTACAAATGCAAGGG